TGATACTAAAACCCCAAAACAGGCTAGGGGTAAAACTTTTCAGATATTACTAGACCCCCACGTAGGACTAGGGGTAAACTTCCTAACATTCCACAAAAAAAAAAAAAAAAATGAAACAACACTTTAAAATTTTCAAGCTTTCACTGTAGGGCAGAATCTGAACCAATAAGATGAAGAATGGCATCATCAGTAGCAGAAGGAACAACTTGAGCGGAAGAAGGTTGAACAACAACTTCACCAGGAGTAACTTCATCACACCCTGGAATTCCAACCTCAGGTGAAGAAAAGCTCTGACTCTGTTGGGTTTTCTCAATAGTTTCTTTAATCTTTGCAATCTCAGCAGCTAAGTCAAAGCCTTCCCGGCTTGCCTCCATTAAAGTGTCGAGGCGTGTGTTCAAGAAAGCCTAACTAACATCAACATCGACCTTATCTTCATGGTCTTCATAATCTCTTTCCCACTGCTCAATCTCACTTCTTAGCTCTTCCTTCTCATTCAAGGCAGCATCATAGGAAGTCTGTAGGGGGGCAAGTGAACTCTCTAAGAATTGAACTCTATTAGAAGATATTCGGAGATCTTCTTGAGTTTCGGTGAGCGTTTGAACAAGCTCCCCAGCGTAAACTTCTTTCTGGTTCAGTAGTTCCTTCAGACCCCTAATTTCTTCAGTGGCCTTAGAAAGTTGCTCAACAAATGAAGACTCGAGAAGGTTTTTATCTTTGCCCGCCTGATTGGATAAGGCTTTCTCAACTGCCAACTCTGCTGCCATTACCTTCACCTATTTCTCCAAGGTACACTTTTCTCCCTCTAAGATTTCTTTTTCAAGTTGAAGGCCATCGAACTGCTCCTTCTAGTTGTCTGCCTCGATGTGATAATCGTTCATTAACTGCTCTGTGTGGACAATCCTCTTCATCATCTTCGTGCCGATGAGGTTGATATACAAAATGAAAAGAAAAATGTGATACCAATGAAAAGGAAGTCACGTGCAAAATAAAAAGCTAAGGCTTATACCTTTAAAGATGAATGTACGATATCATTCATCTACGTTAGAGAACTGTGGCTTTCCAATTTTGACTTCTCAACTGGGCCAATCAATGGTTTCAGCCATACATCAGCTTGGCCAGATTTCTTCAGAAGATTACCATCCTCAAGAACCTCGATGGCAACTCTTTTCATTACCCTACTAGAGGAACCTACTTCAGCATGAGAAGTTGTAACAGTAGGAACAGTCGAGGGAGTCAAATAAGCCACGGTCCGAGCAGTGGTAATAGCAACAGGTGCGGGGAATTGAGGAGCAATTGGAACAGACACGGGAAAAGAAGCAAGGGGCGTTTCCTCAGAAACAAAGCCGAAGTCTTCATCAAACCCACAAGAAAAGAGTTGTTCAGTAGAGCCACGAGGTGCGGCAGGAATCTCATTATCAGAACTTGATAAGGTAGCACCTTCAGGCTCGTTCATGGGTGCAGAACCTGGAGGAGGAGTAGCTTTGTCATCTGAAATGATACGTCTCCTAGCTCAAGACTTACGAACCAATGAGCTCTCCTCCTTCTCCTCTCCACTCTCGTAACTGTGTGCTCTATCAACTTTTCTTTTTATCAAAGAACTCAAGATTATCTCTTGAGCCATCGACAGTGAGAGTCTCGAAGTAGTAATTGATGCGGCACTCATACCCTGAATGGGAAACCCTAGTAAAGAAAGGGGTTAGTAAGTGCCAAAGTAAGTATGGAAGCAAGGTAGAAAGTGGAAGAAGGAGATACCATGAGTCTTCACTTTCCACCCGAATCTGTTAGAAAGGTATTTCCAGGACCTTTCTTTCATAGGAGCAACGATTAACAATTTTTCTACCCAACTACGGAAATCTGGAATCTCCTCAACAGCTTCCATGGTTGCTGGAAAAGAAAGGTAAAACAATTATGAGAATTGCAGGTTATTCACAAAAAAGAAGAGAAATAGAAAATCCGAAAAGGAAATTGCGTGCAAAGTTCCACTTTTCTGGAACCCACTAACCCACTTGTGGGAGCAGCAACGAATCGAGCATACCAACTATAGTCCTTGTCATCATCAGGGTTTACTAAAACCCTCTTACTCCTGGCCACGAGAGTAAACACCCCAGAACGAAATAATATGGGGGAATAAAGATGAATCAGATGAGAAAAGATAAAGGGTAAAGAAGCCAAGTTTGACAAGTATCTAAGGCATGCCACAGCCCTCCACACAATATGACCAATCTGTCCTAAACAAAATTGAAGAAACGACAAAACTCTATGATGACTGGGTCAATAGGTGGTCTAAAACCCAACATAAAGGGATATGTATACATAAAAGAATAACCAACTTTGAACGAGGTGATCCTTTTATTTGCATTAGGAACTATAATAGGGAAATCAAATTTCCAATGACAATCTCTCCGTACAAGGAAAATCAAACCCTCAGTAATCTGGGAAGGGTAAACATCAACACGATCATGAGAAGTCATGGAAGTGACTTGATTTCTAATCGATTCTCAATCAGTAAAGAAGGAAAGTTCAGCGGGAATAATCTCATCAACACTGGGTTCACGAAGTGGTTCACTAGAATCCCTACTTCTAACAGAAGATCTATGTGAAGAAGAAGCCCTAGTTCTAGAAGACGACGGGGAAGTGCTACTGGGTTGAGAAGAAGAACCACGGATAGAAACAGATCCTAAACTACGTAACCTGCCACCTCTTCTACTTCTGGTAGGAGCAGACAAAGGGGGAAGTTCATCCACTATAACAACTTCACGAGGATCAGGATTTGAAGAAGACATAGTTGTATGAGAAAGTAAAACGTGATGAAGAACGAGAACTATAGAGAACAAAGAACACTGTAGAAAGTTCTTTGTAGAAACAAAGGCAAAGAAGGTATTTATATGAAGAAGCAACCGTCATGTAAAGGGGGTCATGGTGAAATAGTCACATCATGACTGATGCAGCTGCAAAAAAGCCCTAGAAATCGCTGATAAGTCGCAGACCCAATTGACGAAGGCCACATGGCACATGCATTAAATGGAAGTGACATACGACGCGTTGATTCTGGAGAAGACGTAATGATACATGGGAAACATCGGTAAAAATTCCTGCCACAAAAACATACCACTTCCCAAATATTCAATTGCAGAATATTTGGCAAGTGGGGGGACTATCTGTATTGGTAAAAATAAATATTACACGTGGATTTATTTGAGTGGCTGATATGACAAGACACGTGGATCAGTAAGAAAGCAACATCTGGAAAGATGCATTAAAAGAGGCACGAGCCGTAATAGATACGAGCAATCACCCACGAGAGGAGAAGATATGGTCGCTCAAGTTTAAATTTTTACATGAAGAGGTACCGGTAGAATGAATCAAGACAGTAAAAAGGAAAGATTCATGAATCATCAATTAATGAGCGTGAATGATCTCAAACGTTACGGAATCTTCATGAACAGTTACGATTACCAGTTATAACGTCTCACTAATATTATTAATGCTCATAATGATTCGGTCATAAAAGGGGAAAGACGTTGTACTTATAGATTCCTATATAAGGGAAAGAGATATCATTTGTACAGACACGTTCTGATTATTATTGGAATACAATTACTTTCTTTTGCTTACTATTGGCTATTTTTGCTATCTCATATTCTAATTTTCTTTCTTATCATTGAGTAAATATAGAATTTCTTGATTATCAGTAGCCCGAGTATTTCTTAAAATAAGCTTTGGCTGAATTACATAATTTTTGGTTAAACAGGTTTAATTTAATATGATAGAATAATCATAACAGTCAAATACTATATTATGTTTCTAGTCAGACTTTTCCTAGATATTATCTAGGTTATGCAAAAAATAATTATCTTTTATTTTAGAAAGAAAGGTTTTTTGTTTTCATTTTTGAAAGAAAATCTAATTTAAGAGCTTTGTGGTGCATACATGGTCTCTTATTAAGTTGTTATATCAACACTTCAATATTTCAATTATTCTACAAATCATGAATCTTCTTAAAGTATCTTCGAAAACAGTCAACACCTAACAGTCTTACTATTAATTAGTACGGTTTAAAATAATAAGAAATTTTGTACAAACGTGGGTCGAGAGAATTCTCAAGTATAACAGATTCCACGGTGAGAAGGGAATGAATTAGTCCTCAAATTCAGTCATAATTCATTTGGACTAAAATAGTCAAATATTATCTGAGCCACCAACGAGTATTTTGAAAAGGAAGACATGCACGTCGGGGATCTATCCTTCTACCGTTGCCATCACACTTGAACAATATATGATATAATGAATCACACACGACTCGTCTCTAATTTATTTTGGAATTTAAGGTAATGTACACAGACTTTTTAAAAGTTTTTATATAGCATATACACCTAACTAGTTTAACTTATTATAACAATTAATTATCATTTTGATTAGGTTATCAATGTTTATCATAGAGAATATATTTTTGATGTATTGATAATGTAAAAATTATCTAATAAATCGGGTTACTTATAACGTAATTATAGATAATTTTTTATGATGTGCATTAAGCGATAATTCGAGAAACAAATGTAACCGACCTTCTAATATGTTTACTATGTATGTAACTATTATTACACAGTGAATGCATAAAATTAAACTCATTATTATAAGAGTATATACTCAATCAGATATATCACCTATCAAGCAATTATAAGTAAATTGTATAATAAAATTATTTGATAATTAACGTTATAAAAATGGTGACTAACATTCTATTATTATAGGTTAAAATATACAGATAGTATAAAAATATTTAGACTGAAAAACTAAACTGGGATTTGTCATATTTTAAAAGTGATAATATTTTGAATTCGCTGTGTACGTGCGTACGTACGACTCTTTTTACTGTTCAACGTTCAATATCAAAATCCCTTTACAACCGGAATTTTCAAATAGTTACTTATTACTTAGTCTTTGCTATATCCCAACCGATTCAAGCGTCTTTCTTGTTTACTCTCCGTATATAGCAATACCACTAGAAGCAACTCTTTTACTATAGCAACTTAAGAAGTAGAAATCAAAAAGATTTTGAATCAACAAATATTAGTACTATCATTTTTTGAGTATTAATTATAAGTAAAAATATATGACTTGGAAAAGTTGAAAAATGACAGTCAAAGGTGGGACAAGTCCTGCTTGTGCTGCATGCAAATACCAAAGAAGAAAGTGTTCTTCTGAGTGTGTGTTAGCTCCTTATTTCCCAGCAAATCAGCCTAAAATGTTCCAAAACGCGCATAGGCTCTTCGGTGTATGCAACATTATGAAAATCCTCAGGCAATTGGATGACGATGATCAGAAGGCGGACGCCATGAAATCCATCATCTTTGAGTCAGACATGTGGGAGAGATTCCCCGTCTATGGTTGCGTGGAGTACATTTGTCACCTTCGTCAACAGTTACAACTCGCCCTCGAAGAACTTCATTATGTCTATGCTCAACTCGCCCTCTACAGAGAACAACAACAACAACAACAACAATTAACCTTACAGTGCGGCGTTACTTCTGAAATACCTTTTGTTAATGGGATATCAATGGGTCCATTTTTCACTAGTGAAGGAGAATCTAGTGAAGGTGGGCCAAAAACTAAGTTGTTGGGTTCTGATTCTTTATTTGACCATAATAATAATTCAATAGCATTTCCAGCTTCAGATCATGCAATATTTGGATTTGGAGTTCGAGATGATCAACGAGACATTTCACATGAACATGAGTGTTTAATTAACCCCTTCAACAATATTATGGCTGATGATAGGCAATCTTATGTTGAAACCAAGGAAGCATGTGACTCAAGGTACCTTTGTATTCTCTTCATTGATCTATATGACTGTATTTGACTACACAATGAATAGTAAAAGAAAATATCAGACTAATTGTTTAAAAGTTACTAGTTTGATAGAGAAAATATCTCAAATGTATGTGTTAAAAAATTTGAACAGGTCAATGAAGTTTCTGAATGTTGTTAAAGATATATATAGAATAATAGTAATATTTTTAAATGTATCTCAATATATAAAAAGTGTCATATTAATTGGAAGGAGGGTACAAAGAATATCAAATATTTTGAGATGTCTCTCCAACAATTGCTTTTTTTCATCGCATTTGCAATTCGATATTATTAATTCTGCATCTAAAGTATATATATATATATTTAAAGTAACAACTTAAAAGTTAGTGGGCGTTTACGTAAGAATTGTAAAATTCCAAAAAAAAATAAGTGAAAAAAATTTTCAAGTGAAAATGGTATTTGAAAATTAGAGTTGTGTTTCGACATGAGTATAATTTTGGTTTGAATTTTTGTGAGTGAGTGAAAATTTTAAAAAAAATAGCTTTTTAGAGTTTTTTAAATTTTCGAAAAATTTCAAAATTCATCTTCAAGTGGAAATTAAAAATTTTATTGCCAAACACTGATTTCAAAAAAAAAGTAAATTTTTTTCAAAAAAAGGATGAAAGTTTTTATGTCCAAACGGGCTCTTAGTTTGATAGAGAGAATATCACATTTAATTCAAAGGATTTTGGTAGTTGTTAAACATATATTGAATAATAATAATAGTAAAATTTACTTGATCATGTGCAGCTCCGAATCATCTTGGAAGGATACACAATATCTCGAGAATTTGTCTCAGAATGAGCTGAGGAATGCAGCTGCTTGCCTCAGCCTAACCAGCAGAGTTACCTTGTGACAAGAATTGGCTATTGTTGCAATTTTTTCTTCTTTGAACTTTGCTTTTACCATTTCCATTAATGTTCATATATGTGCGAGATTCCGTTTTACATGCATGAATAAACCGTCAAGGTATCTTCTAATTAATGACTCTGTTATTAATTCTTTAATATTCCAGTGGCACACATTGATCATGAAAGCAATATTGCATGTTGATAGAAACTAAGGGTCCATCAAATTATATATGGAATCAGGTTCTCTATTAGTTCTCACCGAATACATGCACACAACAGTAAGTAAATGACACAATGGAGTTTTATGTGGAAAATTCCCAACTCACGGGATTAAAAACCACGACCTACACGCGTAGGATTTCAACTTTACTACTGATCAAACTTTAGATTACAAACTATTGTAATCTAAGAATTAAACCCTTAATCCCTCACTACCTTGTAATAACTCTATTACAAGCCCCTTTGCAATAACTCTATTACAAAGCTTACAACTCGACTAACTCTAGCCAAGACACTAACACAAGGTTTATGGTTTTAAAAACGGGTTCTTACACAATGCTTCTTAAATAAGCTAAGTAGGAATTACAAGTAAATCACTTTATCAAAGGTGAAACACAACTAAGGACATGTAATGACTCAATGCAGGAAACTGGTCCTTTGTTATGTTGTTCTTTGTTCTTGAAGCCTTCAGAGTCACTTGCAACATTGACACACTTGAGAAAAAGCTTTTTCGATTCTAGAGTGCGCAAGTGACTTGTTTTTGCTTTGCTTCATGTTAATATTACCCAAGTGATTTCACTTGGATGATGCAAGCACATTTGGTACAAAGGCATTCCCCATAAAGTGACTGCTGCACTGTTTGCCTTTTTGCGTGTGTTTGCCTTGTTGCATGCGTGTAGAGGAACAGTTGCAGCAGCTTTACAGCTGTGGGGAGTTGTCTTAGTACCGTCAGCAAGAGAACTGATATCTATTTGTTCCCTCTATCGTTTCTTTGACTCTGAATTGTTGAGACATATCCCTGACTTGAGACTTGTTGTTCTTGAGCACCTGAGGATGTAGAGCAGGTTCCCCATCTGGTTCTTAAAGTTGTTAGATCATCAAAACATAGCAGGTCATATAACCTATCAATTTCTCCCTTTTTGATGATGACAAACTTGTAATTGAAATTTCCCCTGAGAACCAGAGTGTCATGCATATTTTCTGTATTCCCCCTGAAGTTGTTCCCTCTCTTGTTCCCCCTCAATTCACTTCCCCCTTTTGGCATCATAAAAAGATTAAGCACAAGCAATAAGCAAAAAAAAGTCTAGCCTGGTTAACTCATGCCACATGTGTGCACACAAACATGACTAAAAATAGAGAATAAGAGCAAAGTATGCACAGCAAAAGGACGAGATATTCATTAATTTTGGAAATAAGCAGGGAGCATTACCAGTTGTTACATAATCATCCACAAATTAAAATAGCAAAAAAAGAGTACCAGTCACTAAACACATTCATACAAAAAGGATTAAAATAGAGGACAAACAACTTGAACTTGACACTGGGAAGGGAACGATTTTAGGGAGCACTGGAAGGGGGAGACACAAATGAAGAGGCAAGGGTTCTAAGGAGGATGTTCATTCAAGCATTTCCTGACACCTGCTTGTTGAGCAGCCTCTCCTTTAGGTCCTCAATCTGTTTCCTCAGATCAGCATTTTCCTTCATCAGTCGGGCAACGATTGTGCCTTGTGAACTGCTGGAACCAGGTGTCTCCTGGGCCTGACTGAGCTGACATTCGAGAATGGCATTCCTTGCCTTCAATTTCCTTATCTCTTTAGTGGCAGTATTCTGAGCGTCAATGAGTTGAGAGATAGTGGAAGTGCTGCCAGCCCCTCGCCTTTTATCAATGTACTCACACTCTTCTAAGCTGGTCTTGGAGATGGTTTGCTTTCGAGTACCCATTGTAGCCTTTCCTTAGGGGACCTTGAAGTAGTTAAATACTTTGGTGAGTAGGAACCCATACGAAAACCCATGATTACCATCCATAAAATACGTCACTTTCTTCATGTGTTTTATCATTAAACCAGCCAAGTTTATAGTGGAGTGGGCATCTAGTGCTTTCATTAGAAACGGGTCTCCTCGTGACGTAATGGATTGTCTTTCTGCACGTGGGAGCAGAACCTTGTTGACCATTTCAAACAGCAGTTGGTACACTGGAAGGAGGGCCTTCTTATGTACCCTTTCCCCATGCTGAACTACATTATCCTTGAAAATGGCATTTCTAAAGTTTGAAGAACAAGTCCCTTCAATGGAGGATATGCCGCCAGTAGGCACTCCCAAGATGGTTCCCAACACATTCTCATCCATCACAAAGTCAACCCCATTCACTTTCATGCAGATGTTGTCATCCTCTACTGTGAAAAAGTCAGCATAGAAACTGCGCACTTCTGCCTCTTACACCTTAGGATTCTCTACCATGAACAAATGTGTCTACTGTTGAGATTCACAAATCTCTACTAGTTGGCGCATACCGGGCATGTCCAGAATATCAGGGGCAAATGTTCTGCCCCACAGCACCTTTTGATTTCTTAAGTTTTCTCTTTATGCATCCTTGTCAATACACAGCTTGGCCCTCTTGGAAGAACCAGTTTCCTCACCGGCTTTTCTTTTCACTGATCTTCTCACACTTTTCCCTTTGTCTACATATTTCTCAGACACAAATTTCTCAATCACCTTCTCAAGGACTCCTCAGCCACTTTCTTACTAGACTCCTCAGCTACTTTCTCACCATACTTTTCAACCTCCATCACACTCTCAGATGACTCCTTCCTGGATTTCGAAACTGTAGTTTTCTTGGAGTACTTACGAACTAAGGAACTAGGTTCCTCATTCACCTCATCATCAATGTCCACAACAAGTGCTGGAGGCACTACCCTCTTATTCACAAACATTCCATCCTTCACCAATCTCCTCTTCTTCTTTTCTCCCTTGTTTTGCCTTAGAACAGATTCAAGAGCTTCCTTCTTCTGTAGCCTAGTAGTAGGCCTCTTAGGAGTGGAGTCTTTTGGAGTTTCCTTTCTACTCCTAGCACTAATGAAGCTTGCAAGAGCCACATTGTCATAGTCTTCTTCACTATCCTCATTCTCCTCCTCAGACGGAGATCTCATTTCAGGAACAACAATTATCAGTGGCTCAGCATAGAAATGAGGAGAGGGAGCAGAATCAGTACTGACCTGGGATTCTTATGGAGAACCAGAGGTTTCATCCCAAGTAGAAGTAAAGAGCTCCTCTTGGGCGGAGGGATCATGTCCCTCATGTGGTTCCCGAGTAGTACTCTTAGGTGCCAAATTTTTTATAGGCACCATTGTTGGCCCAAGTTCAGATGAAGTTTTGAAGATTGAGAAAATGAACTCAGTCATGGACCAGGTCCATCATGTGATACACATTGGTTATCTACCTATACGTGTGAGATGCATGTGAAGAAGATAAGTCTCAAGGATCAGCAACAATATCTTCTGAACTGATCGAAAAGGTTGCATAAAGGATAAGGAGATGAAGTCTCCTTATGTGAAGAGAACTAAATCCGGATCAAGGATAAGGGTTGGAGTTTGTATTGTTGAAGGACTCAAATTCGACAAAGGATCAGCAATTGAGTCTCAATCAAACTCTGATTACTAACTCTTTAAATAACTATGATTGTTCTCTTTTACAGGGTTGCACATACGCAGAAGTTAAACTAAATTGAGAGCAAAAGAGCTAGGCAATTTTGCAAGCAATTTATGTGAGATTCAAGTGTGCATTCCTGAAGCTACATGAACCAGATTGAAGAACCAATTCTATTGTGTTTATTTTTATTCTAGTTCAATTGTAGTAGGTGTTTTAAAGTTGTACCTTTCCAGCTTTCATAGAAGCAATTGTATTAGGTACTTTGAGTATTCAAGTTAGAGTTAACTTGAAAGTGTCGCAGCAGTTGAGGTTGTGTGCCACACTGGGATTAGAGTTTAATCCTTAGGTTTACAAGAGTTTTGTAAATGCTGTTTTTGCTCAGTGATTTTAGTGGAAGTTTGGGAAAATCCTACTGAGTAGTAGGTCATGGTTTTTTCACCTTTTGAGCCAGGTGTTTTCCACGTAAAAATCTCTGTGTTCTTTATTTTATGCACTCTTAATTCCGCAAACAGTAATAGTAAGTACATCTGGAAGAACCAGGTTCTTGTAGTGCAAAAATTAGGTACCACACAAATCACACCCCCCCTCTTGTGTGGTATTGACGTTTAGAACATCAATTGGTATCAGAGCAGGTTATCCTTGAAGAGGCTAACACCTTAGGAAAAGATCATCATGAGTGCACCACCTGGGAACTGGGAAGGGCAATCCACTGCTAGACCTCCACTTTTTAATGGTCAGTACTATTCTTGGTGGAAGAACAGGATGAGAGATCACATCATAGGGGAAGACTATGAACTTTGGGACATAGTCACTGATGGTCCCCTAGCTACCACAAAGAAGAATGCTGAAGGAATTGATGTGCCAAAGACAAGGGCTGATTGTACTGCTGAAGACCTGAGGAAGTGGGAGAAAAATGCTAAGGCCAAGAAATGGCTGGTGTGTGGACTAGGACCAGATGAGTACAGTAGGATCCAAAGTTGTACTACTGCTAAGGAGATATGGGACACTTTGCAAGTGGCCCATGAAGGAACACCTCAAGTGAAAAGATCAAGAGGAACACTGTTGTATTCTCAATATGAGAATTTTACTATGAAGGAAGGAGAAACTATCCAGGAGATGTATACTAGGTTCACTACACTGACAAATGAACTTAAGTCTCTTGGAAGGGTTATTCTTGAAGAAGACAAGGTTGAGAAAATTCTGACAAGGGTTCTGCCAGTCACATGGGAAAGCAAAATCACTGCTATTCAGGAATCCAAGAATATTGCTACTCTCAGACTGGATGAACTGATTGGAAATTTGACTGCTTATGAAATGAGAAGGCAAACCATGAAGATGGATACCCCCAAGAAGGAGAGAAGCTTAGCTCTCAGAATTGCTGAAGGTGCAGATTTGGTGGATGATGAAGTTGCTATGATCACTAGGGATTTCAAAAAGTACCTGATGAGAGGAAAGGGTCCTTCA